AGAAGATCATGTGACATAATGTGATGTCAAACAGAAGGACCCCTGAAGACTCCAACTGCCACAAGTCAAGGTTAGTAACTCTCTCTAAAATGTGACAAAAAAAAGCATTTTCAGGTCAAGGTCAAGTATGATTAGAATACATGTCAAATGGTATGACCTCAGTAAAATGTTAATAAACATAGATGATCATAAAATATTCAAATGAATATGAAAAATAGTTTTAAATATTTAAATCAAGCTCAAGTGTTTACATAGTCGTCCACAATAATGCCTGCAAATGTTGGTTTAAATTTGAAATGTCCAGTGGTGTAACCGGGTTACTCCATTTGACCTCTTCCTTCATGAGAGTAATTTGATCAATGTATGGACAATAGTTCTTCTTTTGTAAGTTTATTATTATTATTATTATTATTATTTTTAATAATAATAATAAGAATAACTTCAAAATGATTATTGTTGTTATTGTTAAAATGATAATAGGATGTGCAGCTTGAAATATAGTCTAAAAGAACTTTAAAATCTATAAATCAAATCTTTTTTTGTTTCACATTTCTATAGAATAATGCATGTAAGCAAGCAGTATGTAGATGGAAACTTGTGTGTGTATGCAAACAACAAACTCTCTCTTCTTCTAATAGATGCCTCTTACAAGTAAAGAAAAAGTGGCTCGCCACAGAGCGCGGGTTAATGCGGATCCTGCTGCAAGGGCAAATTACCTCGCTAAAAGAGGGCAAAGGTACACTACATAAACACACACACACACACACGCTTCATGAGAAAGCAAAAATATCAGTGATGTAGATCTCCTAAAAGGGTAGTTTTAGTGAGAGATGTGAAGTTAAGATGGAAGATGAATTAAGGCTCTGGACATGGGACTAACAGTTGTATTCATCTTTTCTCTTAGCTATCAAAGGAGAAAGAGACAGGGAAAGATCACAAACATCCCAGTCGCAGATCTGTCCAGGGAAAAACAGGTGCAGATGAGGAAAAAGTGGAAGCAGTATCAGAGGCAGTACAGAGAGAAGAAAAGGGTGCTTGCTGAAGTTTTGAACCTTACTCCTCCCTCACTGAATTCAATAGAAGATGACCAGCTTATTGGCCCTCCAGAGCCCATAGTGGTTGCTGCTGATCATGACTATGTGCAGCCAAGTTTAGAGAGACCACAGGCATCCTCAACTCCTGTGAGGGCAGTGCAGAAAAGTACCAGCAAACATAAAGCAGTGCTGAAGGAAAGGGAAAAGCTAAGGTTTGAGCTCATCAAAATAAAGAAGGAACTTAAGAGTGAAAGAATGAAGGCAAAAAAGCTGCAGCGGAAAGTTGATAAGCTCAAAGTGAATAAAGGAAAGGAAGTAAGTGTGAGAAACACGAAGAGAGACAAAAAGAAAATTGCAGAGGAGAAAAAGGAGAGGGTTGTCGGCTTTCTCTGTAGAGATGAAAATAGCCGCATGCTGTCGGGTAAGAAAGACACAGTTAAAAAAAATAAAATGAAACGCCAAAGGAGAAACGCCATGAAGCTGCATCAAGTCATCTCCACAAAGCCAGCCACAATTCTGTACAGAGACATTTCATGCTTCTGTTCGAGACCAGCAGCCATTTGCAAATGTTACAATCCGTCGACCGTAGACTTCAGAAATGTGTCAGAAGTCCCAGAACCACCCAGGCTGAATCAGAGAGGCAAATTCATTGTTGTGAATTATGAGGGTAAGCCTTTTGTGGGGCAAATCGTTCAGGTTGTGGGCGATGAGATAGAGGTGAGCTGCATGAAACAACTGAGTGCAAGGAATGTTTTCACCTGGCCCCACCCACCCGACCTCCTCTTCTACTATGAATCTGATGTGCTCTTCATGATCTCCGAGCCAGAGCCTGTCAACTCCCGCCATTCCCAACTTACAACAGAAGACTGGAACAAATTCCAGACTCAAAGCCAGGATGTGTAATCCTTGTGAACTTTTCTCATTGAGATATGGATGTTTAAATTGTCAAAATCTCTCTCTCTCTCTCTCTCTCTCTCTCTCTCTCTCTCTCTCTCTCTCTCTCTCTCTCTCTCTCTCTCTCTCTCTCTCTCTCTCTACAATATTGTTGTCTTAAATTTGATTGTTGCTATGATGAATAACAGGTATGAATTGTTCTTACTCATTTCCCTTCAGAAGTGCCATTTTTTTGGACACTAAGCAAAGATTGTACTGAAATCAGAGGTCAATCCGTTTCTTCATTGTTAAGAGTATTGTTTTTGTGCTATGGAAAAAAAATATTTTAGACTATTCACATTTATAAAAATAAATAAATCATTTTTCATTCAATTTCATGTGTCAATTGCTTGTCATTCTCTGTATAGATAGTATGGTCAGTTGGTGTAACCGATAAATGTCAATTGGCGTTGTTGTGGAAATAATTATCATAAGACGCCAATTAGTAACATACAGGACAAACCTCGATGTCTGTTTACCTTCTTTAAGGACACAGGCGGCTTAGCCAATAATGTTATTGTTCCCATTCTGTGACCGGTCAATACTGGGATACAGATGGTCTGTGTTGTGGGTACACTGGGACACTTCCTTCTCTGTATTTGTGGACTCCAAGGTAAAATCTTCGAGGTCATAAGTGTCCGAGGCAAGTAGCTCTGTGTTCCCACACTGTTTAGGCTATCTCCTCAAATATGTTGTTTACTCTCTGCGAAACCAGTTAGATGGGCTGGCAAGAGAGAGGCTCTCCAGAATTGACGTGGCAACTCTACCGTGGAGTCAGAACCTCTGACTCTTGGATTTGTGATGTGAATACTCTGGTACCAACTCCAAATAAATCACAGTGGTTTGACCTCAAAGCTCCGACTCTTCCCGTGTCTCCTTCCTGAGTCGGTGACTCCACTGCATGCTACACAGAAGTTTCCTCTACAGGCGTAACCAATGTTTCTTATAAAAAAACTGATATGGCACAAAAAAGTTACTATGAATATGATTCTAGCACTCTTCTACACTGAAAAAATGAAATTTAAAATTATTTAAAACCAACTGACCCAAGAATAGAGAGAAAATAGTAATGTCTACGGCATACTGACTTGCTCAGTACAACAAAAAACGATATTATCTAAGTTTAGAAATACAATATTTTAAATATACTTTGAGATGATATTTCATAATAAATAAATTATTTTCATCAGTATACTTACATAACTTCTAGGAGGGTGAATTATTTAATACTTGTCATGTTTTGTGGTTACACCATTTGACAATTTAATGGGACTGTGATTCTTTAATTGATTAAAAATGGTAGAAATGTCATATAAAACACTATGACACCAACAGAAATGCAAACTATACATTTATACAAACATCTAACATGTTGTTTTAATAAGTTTAAAGCATATTTTTGATTTGGACATCATACCAACCCTTATTTGTCACTGACCCACCAACAGGCTGTAAATCAGGTGGTCGAGTGGACTGATAACAATGCTCTTGAGATCAACACCAAGAAAACTGAGGAAATCATTTTTGGCTCACCATCTGACTCCCATAAAGTCCCCATTGTCATCCATACAGATGAGATCAAGCAGGGAGTTTCATACAAATACCTGGGTGTAATTATTGACCATCTGCTGTCATGGAAGGATCACATTTATTATCTGTGCAAAAGGACAAAACAAAGAATTTATTTTCTCCGCCGTCTTAGGTCTTTTGGCGCGAGCAGAGAAATTCTTCTGTTCTTTACATCTGTGATCATGTCCATTCTACAGTACTGCAATACTACCTGGTACAAATGTCTGTCAGCAGCGTTAAAATCAAAACTACTCCACCTGTTAAAGATCTGCTCAAAGATTGTTGGTCAACCCTGTCAGAGACTCTATGACTCAGCCTATCATAACAACCTAGTGAGGCTGTCCAACAACATCATCTCCGACCCAAACCATGTTCTGAACAGTGAATATGAACTGCTACCATCTAATCGGAGATACAGGGTCCCACGATTCAATAAAGTCAGACTGAAGCACTCCTTTGTGCATCAGTCAGTCCTCACAGTAAATACAGAGCTAAATCCCAGACCAAATGCACGCTGAAGGCTCTTTGAGCATGTTTTTCTCTCACTGATTGTGCTGTTATGTTAAATGTTTGTGTTTCATGTATTTGTGTATGCATATTTGTCTGTTGATGTTGGACATGGAGCTGCTGTGACGCAAGTCAAATTTCAGACTTGATCTGACAATAAAGTAATATCGTATCGTATCGTATCGTGGGGGGGTTTTTGAAAAAAAAATTAAAATGATCAGTTAGATGAGTTTCTTCCCGTTACATGGATATAAAACATTCATAGTTTATTAAATGAACATGCCCTCAGACACTGTTTCCTGCAAGATGTTGCGGCAGTGCCCCGGTACCGGGGTCTCTCGGGCTTAACAGGTTTTAAAAGATTAATTCCAAGTCTGATGTAAAGTTGGATTGCCAATAAAACCTCAAGATATTATGTAAATGTAAAAAAAGGGACAAAGACGAGTGAGGATCTTGAGGGTTGCTAATTCATGTCTTGTTATACCAATTCAATTGATAACAAAGTTGTCATGTCTTATGGAAGCCAGAAATAATAGTCTCATTCCCATAAAAGACTGTCAGGAAGTATGATGGTATACTCTTTGCTTGTTGTTAGGAAGAATGTCGGTAAACAAATAATAATGTTTTGGTAAGGAATCAAAACTTAGCTGTCACACTTTAGTTATATATAATGACATTGCACTTTGCCTTATTCACAAAGAGCAAATGGTGTTCCCTACTTCTCAATAACATTTATTTTTTGTAATAAAGTCACTGAATACAATTCTTAGATACCTTTATTACAGTCATACAGAGGGAAAAGTCCAATGTCAACATAATGCCTTTGCTGTGTTGCCAAGATCCAAGGTTCTTCCAGGACAGAGATAGGTTATATGCAGTTGGCTAAACAAAACCTCCCACTTCACGGTAGAAGAAGGACAAAAAAAAAGCTTTGGTTAGATAGGCTTGAGCCGTTGCAGAACAGATTCAATCATGTCGATGTTTGGATTCCTTGTTGACTTGGATGTCAAAACTCTGCTGCTCTTTCTTATAATCTTCATCCTCACTGCAGATTATTTAAAGAACCGTCGATCAGGCAGCTTCCCTCCAGGACCCCGGGCGTTTCCTATTGTTGGCAACATGTTCACTTTGGATCACAAAAGGACACATGAGAGTATGACAAAGGTAAATCAACAAGTGTATACAAATCTAAAAAGCAATTGGTCAACTGATTTGACTGTTTGTGTTTTCTGATATGTGATGCTTTTCCTCTTCTCTGTCATCTTATCACAGTTAGCAGGGACATATGAAGATGTGTACAGCCTGAGAATGGGACAGACATGGGTTGTGGTGTTGAACAGGTTTGATTGTCTCAATAGCTTTGTTTGTTTGTATACTGTGTTATGTGAGAGGATTATCATTGTTCAGTTCCTGATAACATGATATCTGCTTGTTTGGAACCACTATCAACTGTGTGTGTTGAAAAAGGCACCTGATATAACCTTCTTCAATGGCCTCTGCCTTACAGTACTATTGTTTGAGCCTTATCTCCAACAGAATACACTCCTTTTGATCAAACAACGCTAAGCCTTTTAATTATTTGTCAAGGTACAGGTCCAGTACACATCAATGAAGTAAATATCATAAATTATAATGACCTTGGCTGTAGTAGTGGTTGAAATGTATTTTTCAGCATGTTTTAACACATTTAATGTATTGAATATGTTCTCAGGTTAAGGGGCAGGTAGGCAATACTTTTGATGAGGAAAGCCTGATAATGTCTGTGATGGATCTGTTTGTGGCTGGATCTGAGACCACTTCCACCATGCTGCGCTGGGCTTTCCTCTACATGGCAAAGTACCCTGAGATCCAGGGTAAGAGCATTGACCAAGACAACAAGGCGATTTGTTCTAAAAATAATTATGTGCAAATGGATGACATTAGGACAAAGTTATCAGTGCTAAATTGCCAGGTGTTGAACTAAAGTGTTTCCAGCTCTCACTCTTCAAATAAATGTACGTCAAGGTGACATATTTTGCAATTACAAGTGGCCTTCACGTTTATGAATGACTAATTCTGTGCAGCAACCACTTACCTATAAAAGGTCCACGTTGCAACTCAGCAGGTACACAAATATGTCTATTCTCTAATGTGACATTACATTACATGTCATTTTGTTAGACGCTTTTATCCAAAGCGACTTACATACATTCAGTACTGTGGTCAATCCCCACAGGAGCAATTTGGGGTGAAGTGCCTTGCCCAGGGACACAACGACATGCAGTGGACTCAAACTTGCTATACCCTGATTCAAAGTCCAGCACACTATCCACTGAGCCACAGCCTCCCTACAACCACACCATCATACCAGCCTGACATTATTTTAAAGTCTTGTGGCAGATTTGATACTGTATGCCAAAAGCACAACATAAAATATACTGTATGCCCGAATATAGTTGCAAGGAAGGAAGTGGGCATTAATGCTAATTTGGCGGGAAGTTGCACAGAAACTAGCAAAGAAGCTAACAGGTTATTTCATTCAATTTGGTCGTTGATAGTGTGACTATGTTGAAAGTCAATAACTTTGTACTTTTTTGTGGCAACTGCTTCAGCAAGTTAGTTCAGAGATAGCATTGTGAAGCTCAATCTGGGTCTAGCGGTAGCCATCTTGGAAGGTAGAGCTGATGCAGTCTTTGGTGTTGCACCTGCTAGCCCAAGCCCAACAAAAAAAGCACCCACCATAAACTTTTTGGAACAGGCAAATTGGATTAAGTGCAAAGACCCAAACACTTTGCTGTAAAAATGTTTATTTCTGCTGTAAAGTTGAGAGTTTTAAAATGAGGTCAGATTGGAGATTGACCTTTAAACAGGTGCTGAAGAAAGCATCAGGTGGCAATTGAAGGAACTGCACTTTTTGGCAGTTATGCTTAGGCACTTTTTTTGTATCCCTGGTGGTTTGGCATTGTTTTGTCTTTTCTGCTGATTGATGAAATATAATTTCATCTTCTGTTTTTCCCCTCCTGTTCCACAGCAAAGGTCCAGGCTGAGATAGACAGAGTGATTGGACAGTCCAGACAGCCCTCCATGGAAGATCGTGCTAACCTGCCCTACACTGACGCCGTCATACACGAGATCCAGAGGATGGGTAATATAGTTCCTCTCAACCTGCCTCATGTTACCAACAAGGAAATTAAGTTGGGAGACTACAAAATCCCAAAGGTCAGTTCTCTTAATCTATTTGTATGCAACATCAGTGCTTGAATTGGGCCTGTACTCACTGGTACGCAGTACCGGCACTTCTGATTTTTACCCATGTGGTACCGGCACTTCTTACTGAGTAAGGCGGCATCTCATGGCGCATCTACGCGTAATTTTGTTTAAGTACAGTGAGCCTTTCTAAAATATACAGTAAAGAGACAAACCCACCAGCATTATAGGATATACTGACTTTGAGCCAAATACTTGTTTTTGGGTTGTATAAATAAATTGACTTGAAAAAGTTGCTGATTTAGAGTACTGGCACCTTTTTTATTCCAATTCAAGCACTGTGCAACATAAACAACCATATGGCGTCTTTATAAATTGTCATTATGAATCAATCACCAGGGACTTACAATAATCCCCAATCTGACATCGGTGCTGTTTGACAAGAATGAATGGGAGATGCCCAACACTTTCAACCAGGACACTTTCTGAACAAGGAGGGAAAGTTTGTGAAGCGAGCTGCTTTCATCCCTTTCTCTGCGGGTGAGAAGTAACACAATCTCTTGTTTTACTAGTGTCTTTATTTGTTTGTACCGGAGTTTAGTGCCATTAGGGTCTTAAACTAGTTTGACCTGTGGGCTAAAGCTGTGTTTTTTTCCCTGTCTTAGGTAAGCGGGTGTGTCTCGGGGAGAGCCTGGCCAGGATGGAGCTCTTCCTCCTCTTCACCTCCTTCATGCAGCACTTCACATTCTCCATGCCTCCCGGGGTGAAGCCTGTTATGGACTATACCTTCGGCATCACTCTGGCACCAGTTCAATATGAAATGTGTGTAACCTCACGCTAAGAGACAGCGAAAAAATTATTAAGAATCAATAACTTTTTTATTATGCCATTTCATTCATGGTTACTGTATGTCACCAGGACATAGTTATAAATAGATAAAACTGAATTTGTGCTACAATGATAGATGACACAACATTGATTCCATTGCAAGTATCTCCTTCAGGCTGAACATTGTGGATCATTTACTTCTTTAGAGCAGTCATTTTTCCGCTCTGCTTACAATAAACATTTTCCAGGAACTCCGGCCAGTCCTGAATAGTAATGCCACTTTCTCCTCTAGAGGTGATTAATGGCTTCTGCAGTTTTAAAGAGTTTGGCTGAAATTGTATAAGTTGCAGTAAGTAATAGTTTGTTTTTTGTAACTGATGACTGGAAATTGAGATTGTATCTTTACAGTATTGGAGCATTTGGGCTAGACATTTCAATAAAGTGTGTGATACATCTCAAACATGAGTTGCGTGTTACATTTTGTCCAAGGGGATATGGAGGTGGACATATATCGAAACAATCTTTTATTTTATTCTTTCCATGAGATTCAACAAATTGTGTGGCCCATATGGTATGCAATAAAGGTGTGTGTGTGTGTGTGTGTGTGTGTGTTTGTGACTGCTACTTTGAAGAAGTGCAACTGTTCTGCATATGCACTGATGGTAATAATGTCTTCAGTTTTGCAAGTCTACACTGCAGATGCAAAGTATGAACAAAACATTTGTTTGTTGTCAATCAATCAATCAATAGGATACGGCTGTAATAGGCCTATGGCCTTTTAGTCGCTCATAAATAAATGAGTAGATCACTGATTCTTTATTTACTATGGATGCTGGCAACAGTCACATAGTCCAAAGTGAAGGTGATGTTTGACCAGTAGTGGTCGAGGCGGGATTTGAGACAGTTAACCGTCTTGGATGTGACAACGCTTTCTGGCAGATCATTCCACAAGTCAACCACACGCAGGCTGAAAAAGTTGCGGCGGATAGCCAGTCTTGAGTACTGTTTCTTCAACTTGAGGCAGTGTCCACGAGTCCTGGTGTTATAATCCCGTTGTAGTGGGCATGATGTTTTGTAGATGTTGTGGAGATATTTGAAAACTTCGATCATATCTCCCCTCGCCCTTCTATAATACATACTCGGGATTTTAAGACGTTGCAGTCGTTCTTGATATGGTAGGTCCTTTAGTTCTGGAACCAGCTTCGTTGCCCTTCTCTGTATTTTCTCGATGAGCTCAGCATCCTTTTTGTACATGGGGGACCAAGCGACATTCCCATACTCGAGGAGTGGCCGTACGAGAGAGATGTATAAACTAAGTACTACGTCAGAGTCCAAATAAGTGTATGATCTGCGGATCATTGCTAGGATACCATTCGCTTTGTTACTTGCCCGACGGATATGGTCACTAAATGTCAGGGTATTGTCAACATTCACACCAAGGTCCTTTTCATTCTGAGTCTCGGATAGGTTTATAGTGTTTGAATTATCACCCATATTATACTCATATTTTTTATTCAGAAAACCTAAGTGCATTACTTTGCACTTTGCTGCATTTGTTTGTAGCCTTTATTTAACCAGGTGAAAGCCTCTTGAGATCAAAAGATCTCTTTTTCAAGGGTGACCTACATTGAATTTGAGCTGCCAACACTCAGACCATCTTTGTATTTCTCTGAGATCTGACTGGAGTTTTTCTGCATCCTCTTTACACTTAATTTCCTTGAAGACTTTAGTATCATCTGCAAACATCTGGACCCTGGAGCTCACATTATCCGGTAGGTCTTGTGAAAGACCAGTTGGAAAAAATCATTATTGGTCACTGATTAACAGTGTTAGAATTGCTTTATACTGGTATCAAGGGGGCAAAGTCCAGTTTTTCCTCTAGCCAATCACTGGGCTGCCGTGAGCAAAGTTTCACGAGAGGTGATAGCTCTCTGCAACAGAAACATCATTTTATGTGAAAGTCAAGGCAAAGAAACCCCAGTCTTCAGTTGGACAGGCTTGAGCCCTTGATTTGCAGAATGGATTCAATCCTTTCTGTAATCGGTTCCTATCTGAACTGGGATGTCAAAAGCCTTCTGCTCTTCTCTGTAATCTTTATCCTCACCACCGATTATATCAAGAACTGTCGGTCAGGCAGCTTCCCTCCAGGACCCCGGGGACTTCCTATTGTGGGCAACATGTTCTCTGTGGATTACCAAAGGACCCATGAGAGTATGACAGAGGTAAATCAGCAGGTGCAAAACATTTAAATGTGTTATTGGTTATATGAAGCATTATTCTCTTCCTCTTCTCTGACATCTTCTCACAGTTAGCAGGGACATATGGAGATGTGTACAGCCTGAGAATGGGTCAGTCATGGATGGTGGTGTTAAACAGGTTTGAGGTTCTGAGAGAAGCTCTGGTTACTCAGGGAGACAGTCTATCAGACCGCCCGGACCTCCCTCTGTTCGTTGACATTACCTCTGGACTAGGTAACACACACACACACACACACACACACACACACACACACACACACACACACACACACACACACACACACACACACACACACACACACACACACACACACACACACACACACACACACACACACACACACACAGCACACACCACACACACACACACACACACACACACACACACACACACACACACACACACACACAACACCCACACACACACACACACACCACACACACCACACACACCACACACACACACACCCACACACACACACACACACACACACACACACACACACACACACACACACACACACACAGTGTATATTGAATTCCTGTGATACTGTGATAAATTGTTGAATTATTACACTGTGTGTTGCATCAGTTTCTCCCTCAATCAGTTTTATAGTTTGCATGTGTTCATACTTTTACACACTAAATGAACTAGAGATGTGTTTTTTCTACTGAGGAGTTTTGTCAAATAATTATGAACCTTTTAGTTTCTGCTTTTGATCTCTTTCTGTGTAATTTAATATAAATGAAGTATTCAAAATATAATGAAAGCTAAATTAAACTAATAGTTTTTTTTGATTTTTCAAGGTTTTCTTAATCTGCTTGTGTTTCCCATCAGGTATAGTTTTCAGTAATGGCAACACATGGAAGCAGCAGAGGCGTTTTGCACTTTCGACCCTCAAATATTTTGGATTTGGCAAGAAGTCCCTTGAGCCCATCATCTTGGATGAATTTTCGTATTGTGCAAAAGACATCAAAAGCTACAATGGTAAAAATGAAAGCATAAGGATAATTGAAGAATGATACACTGATGTGCACATTTGCCATGGCCTCTGACTTACACCAAATTTGCAATTTACATTAAATGTTCTGATAAACTTTGAAGGAAAGCCATTCAATCCACATCTCCTCATCAACAACGTCGTCTCCAACATAATTTGTTCCCTTGTTTTTGGTCATCGCTTTGAGTATGGTGATAAGAAATTTACAAAACTGATGGAGTGGTTTGACAAAGGTCTCGAGATTGAAGGCTCCATTTGGACACAGGTACAGCATTTTAAAACTATTGATAATATCGTAATGCTGTGTTGTACGACACTCCTAATCATGATTCAGACCATTGGCTTCAACATGTTAACATGTTTTTTAGCAGAACATATTTTTCTGAAATGCCTTGTCATGTTACTGTCCTGATCTGCTCCTCTCTGCAGCTTTACAACTCGTTCCCATGGCTGATGAGACGTTTGCCAGGGCCTCATCAGACAGTCCAGCACATCTGGGACAATGTGAAGGAATTCATAAGAGTAGAGATTAAGAAGCACAAACAGAACTGGGATCCCTCAGACCCAAGAGACTACATCGACTGCTTCCTGAACGAGATTCAGAAGGTACTTGGTACTAAGATGAACATTGTTGAGTTCCTGTATATATCTTATCTGCTTGTTTTGCACCACCATCAGCACTATCAACTGTTTTTGTGTTGTACTGACACAACATTTCATTGCAAAATTACTCCTGGCTGGTATGTGAACAAATCAAAGACCTGATATGCACTTCTGCAATGGCCTCTGCCTTATAGCCCTATCATTTATTACCCTATCTTTAACAGCATACACTCTTTTTGATCAAACAAAGCCAAGCCTTTTAATTATCAAGGTGCAAGGTCAAGAATATATATTTTTGCTTTACTTACCTGTAACCATAATAACATACAATGACCTTTGCTGTTACAGCCATGTAGATGTTCCAAATTAATTTGCGTCATGTTTTAACACATGCATTCCCGTATATAATTAGGGTAAGGGGCAGGCTGACAATACTTTTGATGAGGAAAATCTGGTTGGGTCTGCCTGGGATCTGTTTTTGGCTGGATCTGAGACAACCTCCACTACCCTGCGATGGGCTTTCCTCTTCATGGCAAAGTACCCTGAGATGCAGAGTAAGAGCATTGACACAGCCAACTGAGCTCTTTGTTTTGATGCATTTTGTAGGGCTAAATAATTACAAACATCATGTAACTGCTTTTTCTCCAAGGGGACAAAGGGTGTCTTTAGATGTATTGCTATGCAACAAACATCTACAACTTATAGTATTAGACTGATTCAAGTTTGCAAATAAACAGGGCCTCATCTTGATAAAATATTTATGCTACAAATTCTGTAACGTCTGCCTGTTCCCCTCCTGTTCCACAGCAAAGGTCCAGGCTGAGATAGACAGAGTGATTGGACAGTCCAGACAGCCCTCCATGGAAGATCGTGCTAACCTGCCCTACACTGACGCCGTCATACACGAGATCCAGAGGATGGGTAACATAGTTCCTCTCAACCTGCCTCATGTTACCAACAGGGACGTCCAGCTGGGAGGCTACACAATCCCAAAGGTCAGTTCTTGAATGCAGTCGTATGTCACATGACTATGTTGTATCTTTGCAAATTGCCATTTCATTTCCAATTCAACAGGGAGTTACTATAATCCCCAATCTGACCTCGGTGCTGTACGACAAGAATGAATGGGAGACGCCAAACACCTTCAACCCAGGACACTTTCTGAACAAGGAGGGAAAGTTTGTGACGCGAGCTGCTTTCATTCCGTTCTCTGCCGGTGAGAAGCAATACCAGTTCTTGCTTTTGAATTGTCTCTACCTGTTTATACAGGAGTCTATCCTGTCATACACTGGGACCCTATGTTCTTCCTTTGCATAATGATTGCAGTTTGTCCTGGTATAAACTGTCACCATCTAGAAGATAACACATACAATGTTATGGCTAGGGAGCCGATAGGTCTTTGGTGTTTGCTTTAACCATGTTCTGGATGTAGGATAGGCTTAATCCACTGACAGCATGATAAGCTGGTGCCAGTGCCAGGTGAACAGGAGGGGAGGAGCGGTGTGGTTTGGGAGGTAGACCAACCAGGAGGGAGTTGCAGTAGTCCAGACGTCAGATGATAAGAACATTAACAAGAACCTGCGTCTCCTTCTGTCTGAAAGGGACATGTCATCTTGATGTTGTAGATTCATTGCAGTCTGATTTGTGGACACAACACAAGTGTCAATGTTGATACTATAGTAAGAAAAAGCAGTTTTGTCTTGACAAGGTTGAGCTTCAAGTGGTGCAAGGACATCATCTGAGAGATGTCAGCCAGACCAACAGAGATGTTTGCGACCACTTGGGATTCAGTCCAGGGAAAGGCAGTATAATAATAATAATACATTTTATTTCTATAGCGCTTTTCTTGAACCCAAAGACGCTTGTAGGATCTGTATCTGTTGAGTGTCATCTGCATAGCTGTGGTAGGAGAAGCAATGACACAGCCAAGGGAATTGGTGTTCAGAGGAAAGAGGGGTGGATCCAGGATGGCACCCTGAGGGACCCCAGTAAGAAGTTGACAAAGTTCTGACACAGACCCCCACCACATTATTCTTTATGTGCATCTTTGAGATTGGATGTGAACATAGGAAGTGCCATCGTCAGAATAATGAATACTGTATTCTTTATTACCGTAAGTCTAAGAAATGTTCTGATTGTTTCCCTTTTTCCATGGAGAAAGGCCATGACCGTGAGAGCAGAAAAAAGAGAGTGTCGAAAAGCTGAACGTAGGTGGCGAAAAACAAATCTCCAGGTTCACTTTGAAATCTATAAAGAGAGACTTGGCCTTTATAATTTGGAATTGAAAAACGCACGACAGTCTTTCTTCTCTGACATCATTACCAAAAACAAAAACAATGCACGTGCCTTGTTTGCTACCGTCGACAGACTGACTAACCCCCCAGTGTCAGTAGCCTCTGAATTTCTATCCACCAGGGCATGCAATGATTTTGCCTCCTTCACTGACAAAATTCAGAAAATCAGACAAGCAGTCAGTGCCTCTGCATCAGGTACAGCAAATGTGTTGTCCCTATGTCCACCTAATATCAATTCAAACACCATGACACAATTCCATCAGATTAATGATAAAAACCTAGAGGACATTATTCAACTTCTGAAATCCTCCTCCTGCTGCCTTGATATTATTCCAACAGGATTTTTCAAAGATGTTTTTCGTTGCATGGCCTCAGATCTACTTCATATAGTAAACAAATCTCTTCACTCAGGTATTTTTCCACAGGCCCTAAAAACTGCAGTCATTAAACCGCTCTTAAAAAAAGAATAATCTAGAATGCTTCAGTTATGAACAATTACAGGCCCATATCAAACCTCCCATTTCTAGGTAAAATCATTGAAAAAGTTGTTTTTCAACAGTTGAGTAATTTATTTCATTTAAATAGTTGTTTCGATGTGTTCCAGTCAGGCTTTCGTCCAAACCACAGCACTGAGACTGCTCTTGTAAAGGTCTTTAATGACATCCACTTAAACACAGACAGTGGCAGAACCTCAGTGTTAGTATTATTAGATCTCAGCGCTGTGTTTGACACTGTTGACCACAGCATATTACTAGACCGACTGGAAAACTGGGTGGGACTTTCGGAAACAGTTCTAAATTGGTTTGAATCCTACTTAAAGGACCGAAAAAACGTTGTTTCTATAGGTAAATACACATCTGAGTTGACAAATATGACATGTGGGTTTCCTCAAGGCTCCATCTTGGGGCCTCTTCTCTTTAACATCTACATGCTACCACTGGCTCAGATAATGAAAAACAACAAAATAAGTTACCATAGCTATGCGGATGACACACAAATGTACATAACAATTTCACCAGGAGACTATGCTCCAATTCAAACACTGAGTAAGTGCATTGAACAAATCAATGACTGGATGTGTCAGAACTTTCTCCAATTAAACAAAGATAAAACTGAGGTAATGGTTTTTGGAGCCAAGGCAGAACGTATAAAAGTTAGCTCTGAGCTTCAGTCTGCAATGTTCAAAACAACAGATGAAGCCAGAAATGGACTCTGACCTGAGTTTCAACAGTCACATTAAAACAGTTACTAAATCAGCCTACTATCACCTACAGAATATATATAGGATTAAAAGACTAATGTCACAGCAGGATTTGGAAAAACTTGTCCATGCTTTTATCTTCAGTAGACTGGACTACTGTAATGGTGTCTTTACAGGTCTCACTAAAAAATCTATTAGAAAGCTGCAGCTGATTCAGAACGCCGCTGCTCGAGTCCTCACTAACACTAAGAAAGTGGATCACATCACTCCTGTTCTGAAGTCTTTACACTGGCTTCCTGTGTGTCAAAGAATAGATTTCAAAAATACTGCTGCTGGTTTATAAAGCTTTGAATGGTTTAGGCCCAAAATAAATTTCCGACCTACTGCTAAATTATGAACCATCCAGATCTCTCAGGTCTTCAGGGACTGGTCAGCTTTCTGTCCACAGAGTCAGAACTAAAAATGGAAAAGCAGCGTTCAGTTATTATGCTCCAAATATCTGGAACAAACTCCCAGAAAACTGCAGGTCCGCTGCAACTCTGACTACTTTTAAATCAAGACTAAAGACTTTTCTTTTTGCCGCTGCTTTTAATTGAACTATTCACATCTTAAACTGCACTGTAACTTTTATCCATGTATTTTTTCTTTTAATGTTTATTTTATTATCTTTTCTTTTTAATGACTGATTTTAAATGCCATTTTCTTAATGTCGTTTTTTGTAAAGCACCTTGAATTGCCTTGTGTTGAAAGGTGCTATATAAATAAACTTGCCTTGCCTTGCCTTTTTCAGGTAAACGACAGTGTCTCGGGGAGAACCTGGCAAGGATGGAGCTTTTCCTGTTCTTCACATCCTTCATGCAGCACTTTAACTTCTCCATGCCTGCTGGGGTGAAACCTGTATTGGATTTTCGCTTTGGCATTACTCTTGCACCCGTTGAATATGAAATCTGTATAACCTCACGCTAGGATTTTACAAAAACTATTTTTCTTTTGTCAGAAATATAGTTAAATTACATTTTGAATCTCTACCACATGTCCAAGAGGACATTGATCCACTTTCTATAACTTACCTTTTGATTTGGGAAATCTGAAGATACATTCTAGGTTACTGATTAGATTAAAGGCTTTATATAGTATTTTGTAGGATGTCTAATGATTTTACAAATTGAATTGTAGTTAAGCTCAGAGCAATTCTGTTTGTTAAAGGTCCGGGCTGTGCGATTTTTATCTTTGTGTTTTTGACTGTTGATTGGACCAAATAAACAATACTACAAGTCTTGTTTCCAACTTAAGTAATTGGGAAGTGCTTTCTTATTTTAACATTATAATAAGGTCCGTAATAAAATGTTTTTACCCATTCTGGTGTTCTAAAAATCTAAATGCCGTTCACTGAACCATGACCTCACTCTTTCCCAACCCCTTTTGGATGAACTCGAACACAGACTGTGTCCCAGGGTTGCGGTCGGATAGTTTAAAAATCAGCTCCTAAATTCTAACCCTATCTCCTATTCCTTGACCTCTGAGTGAAACGTCACGGGGTTAAGGGATAGTGGATAGGAGAATTAAAAATGACTTAGGAGAAGAGACTGTGGTACTTAGAGAATCCGAATGCACTTTCACTATCCGACATGTTTATGATGCGCCAGCGGACGTCATTGTGTGCGTCTGCTGCTGTGGGGAAACTATGGAAACTACAGTTTTCTATACAGAGGACTACAACATGGATGTTTAATAAGAACCACGGACTCATCTAGAAACTCTGCACCATGCTCTGATGCTGTTGCTTTGCTTTATGAACGTGGACAACAGAGAAACATATTCTTCATGACCAAAGTTGGAATTGAAATAAAAAATGAAAAGTGAAACTTATGCTCGTCACTCTCTCCCTCCGGTCCACATTAATACAAATGATCCCAATACGTATGATTGTATGAACTATGAAAATATCTTAAAATCAATACAAATGTATTTATTATAAACGTTAGTCCTTAACATCTATCATTGTGTACATCACCATTCAAACATCTTTTAAAAGTTGAACAAACCCCACACAGCTCAGTAAAGACTGTGAGATGTTGACTTTATTTGATCATTTCAGTAAAAACTAACGTTCATATGTCTCTCTTTGATTATAATACTGATGAACGTTCAAAACAAAGCACTTTGGCAACTTACCACATACGTTTTAAAATGCTTAATAAGCACCGTAACTTTCATGATATCATTTATCCGTCATAATCGATTGTTTCCGTGAACGGCCCACTGTTGTGTGACGCAAATGCTGCGGCTGCAAGGCATTGTGGGGCAGCATTTTCTTCTCTCCTTTCGGTTAGGAAGGTCCAGTGGTTCCTAAGCTAAAGGAGGTTATAAAGGAAGTTTGAAACCTCCTTTCCTATCATTCTAGAGAATTCGAACGGCACTTATCATGGCTGCCAGTGACGTACTTCCGGGTCATTTCACTCCGTTAGGAAGGTTCCTAGCTAAATGGACTATTGGAATGGGCCCCTGGGGTCCTTCTCACTTCGGTTAAATGGATTCCTTGCGTCCCTCACTTACGTCGTTTCCCTGCGACTAGTCCCTCCCTCCAGGGAAGCATGGAGAGATGCAAGGAAACCACGAGAAGCAGGGAAATTAGATTTAAGAGCAATGGGACGTCCTTTCCTCCAGAGCGTCACGTGAAGCGAGGTCCGTTTGTGATGACGCTGCACAGCTGATCGTCTGACAGCAGCTCTGTCCCCGTTATTTCCACACACACCCCCGCCTCTGTTAGTACACATTTACTGACACAAACATTTGTATCATATGTTGTAGACCCCAATAAATAAAATAAAATAAGAACTCATTCTCAAAAAAGATAAACGCCATTCTTAAAATGTATAAACGAACATTAGTTTGATTAATATTGATTAGAGTGCACAATAGAAATAAAATAATTGAGAGAAGAAAAAGAGATGTTATCTATCAAAACCCAGTTAGATTAACATTCATTGGATTGCACACTTTGTTTGTTTGGATATGTAGCAAATTAACATTTTAAATAGCACTTAATGACTGACTGAATGGAAATGACAATAAATGAAAATATAAAACGAAAAAAGCGATCATGAAAATGTTTCCAACAAATGAATAAAATAATTTTTGACCACTTTGTTGTTCAGATATCACATATTTGTAACTAAATGATACATTAATTGAAAAAAACACGGTATAAACTGAGGAGTGACTCCCGTGAGGTTCATGTATTTTCTTCACTCCACTGGGAAACTGCTCTCATGTCAAGAAGCATCAGATCAGTGCATGCACTGCATCGTCCAATCAGTGAGCGATACACAGTAAGGGGGCGGGGCGAGTGTCTGAGGATTTCATCGGAGGATGGTCTGGTGGTTCCTCGGTTATAGCTCCTCCATTATCGCTCCTCGCTCCTCGGTCCTCCTGCAAAAATAAGGCCAGTGGGACGCTACTCAAGATGGCGCAGACAAATCAACTTCCGGTGAGACCGAGACCGAGGAGCGAGGAAATGAAAAATAAGAGAAGTGAGAAGGGCCCCAGGGTTGCGTTCCAATAGTCCATTTAGCTTAGGAACCTTCCTAACCAAGTGAAATGACCCGGAAGTACGTCAGTGGCAGCCATGTTAAGTGCCGTTCTGTGAGGTATCTATATTACTTTGTAAGGGTAAAACCCCAGCTCGGTTTAAATATACCAAACCCAGTGAACAGAGATAACAGTATTCGAGTTTCAAGTTTACTTGCTGCAAGGAGAATCGGCGAGTGACATGCAATGTCCACTCCTTAACCAACTCTACTCGCCTTCTCTCAGTGCATTCTTTTTATTTCAACAATACAGTAACATGACAATCATGTGGTGTTGACCAACGCCTTATTTGTTAGTGTGAATCTTGTGACTCTCAGTCATGTGAATCTGTGTGTGTGTGTATGTGTGGCACTGAACAGACTGTTCTCTGTTCCTCCATTAACACATTTTATGAAAACACATTATGAAAACACATTTATACTTCAATAAACTCTAACATTCCCTCCTGTTTTTCATAATTACTAGCTGGTTACAGTGTCTTTATTACTTTCAGAATTAATTCACTTGTTTTTGACATTTTCGAACCATTCGTCATATGACAGACAGTAACCTAGCTTTAAGTCTTACACATTGGAGGTTAGGTGAGTATATTCGTCCTTCTGAGAGGGGTCTGTGTCAGTATAGTCACCGTTATCTGTCTGTTGCAACATCGTTGAGTAGTGACCATTTTTTCTCTCGATGGACTTCTTCTTTTGTTGAGGATTCCTCACTCAATTGTCTTATAGTCATTAGCGTCAGACCCAGCAGGGTCACTACAAACAACACCTTTCCCAACATAGTCTATTTGTGATAGTGGTTCTGTTGTTTTCTTCACCGGGGTTGAGACCAGTATTTCCTAATGAAACACCGCCCTTTGTAGCCGGACTTCCACCACTTATCCGTCGTTAAGTTGGAGAGGTATTATCTTTTTGCAGTGGCTCTGATGTATCCACGTAGTTCTTTCGGCTATTTTTAGTGCAGTCGGTGTTGTCAGCAGTACCGTGTAGGGACCGTCCCACCGTGGACAGTGCCAATGCTTCCTCTTAATCACCTTCACGAGGACCTGGTCACCAGTCTGCACTCGAGTGTCCTGTAAGGGAGTAGAAATGTCTGGCAAGTTATTTGTTCGAGCTATCTCATTGCTTCTGAAGAGTCTGCTCATCCATTCAGTTAATGTAGTCTCTGCCTCAGCATCATCCTCCTCCCTCACCTCGTCTGTGATTGGTAGTCTGAATTGCCTTCCTGTTATGATCTCAAAGGGAGACAACCCTTTTGCCGTGGGCGTGATTCTCATGCATGTTTCTACTAGAGACACACATTCCACCCATGGTCTTCCTGTTTCCTCCATTGTTTTCCTTAGTCTTAACTTTACTGTTCCGTTTGTTCTTTCCACTAAGCCGGCACTCTGTGGATGATATGCACAATGGTTTTTTAATGTTATCCCCATATGTTCGGACAGTTTGGTAATAACCTGATTTACAAAATGGGAACCATTATCACTGTACAGTTTCTCTGGAATACCTCTGTTTGGTATTATTGTCTTGCATATGGCTTTTGCTACGGTAATAGCGTCTGCATGTTTTGCTGGGAATATTTCAACCCACTTTGAAAACGGACATATCATTACCAAACAGTATTTGTACCCTTGGCATGGTGTTAGTTTGATGAAGTCCATATGCATGTGTTGAAACGGATATGTTGGTGGAGGGAACTTTCCTCTCTGGTCGCTCATTGCCTTGAGCATTGTGTCTGCAACATACTACACAGGCTCTACAAAAGTTTTTAGAAAATGTAATGTAGTTGTATGTATGGGAGTGTTCATTTATTATTGTCACCATCCCTCCTGTTGAGACATGGCACGGCCCATGACTCAAATGAGCTGCTGTTTTGTAGAGACTAATAGGGAGTACTATCTTGTTGTTTATTCTGAATGTTCCCTCAGGGTCTGTGGTTAGTTTTTGGTCTAACATGTATAGGTTTTGCGTTCACCATGCGACCTACATCACATTTTCCTTGTGACCATACGCATGGCGGCACCGTTTTCAGGACCTCTAAGGCCTCTTCACTTAGCATACATCATTGTTGTTCAGGGTCGTCTAGGTGGGCGCGTGGTGTCATCACTAGGGTAAACCCTAGAGTTTTGCGCTTTAACCCGCCTCCAGTTTGCCAACCGTTTTTGTCATCTGTCCATTTTGTTATCCTGTTACCTCTAGCCACTAATAAACCTAAGTCTCTCCATGAAGTCCCTGGGCCCCTAGCTACTGATATGTGTGGCGTGGAACCTGGTTCCATTATCAAGGCAGTCGTTGATGGGACCCTAGCGTCAATTGCAACATCCCCGTGTTGGTTTGCATACATCGAGTGGAACACTACCCTCTGTAGTGTCAGTCGATGCACGAGCACATCATAGTCTTTGTCTGGGCCAGGGGTGTTCTTGTACTTTAGTGTAACGTGCAATGCGTCAGGTTTCATTACTTCTTGGCCATGTTGTGGGGTGAATAGTGTTAACAGGTGTTCACCTGTGTTTGTCACGTCAGGTTGTGGCATGTCTAGTGACCAGTAGTAGTTGGGGGTGTTTATGGATTTTTGAAGGAAGACCTGGTCTTCCACCTTTTCTCCGGGCCCTACTGCTCGCATTCCCCCTTTGACTGGTACTACACTGATTTTTAACATTTCCATGCCGTCTCTCCCTAGCAAATTGACAGGGCAGTTTGAGATGAAC